GTTCCTCAATGAGACAAGTGTTGATTTGTTTCGTGAGACGCACACCATTATGATGCACAGACTACAAGATACCGGAAATGAAGAGCTTTGGGACAAAGGTCGATTTTTTGGCATCTATACGGGCAGTAAGTACAATTAAAAAAATTTTTTTAATTTTTTTTTCCTGCGACTAAACATTATAATATATACTTGTTATATAGGCCGCGGATTCCAAACATTTGAGCTGCGACCGGCAGGAGGCCGGTCATATGTGTCACTGTTTCATAGATACCCTATATTTCAACTGCCTACCTCAATTCAGGACATGAAGCCACAAATCCAGGGCTTGACCCATCTTCTCCAAGTACGCGTATGTGTCGACATTTATCTCGTTGCAAAAAGGGATGTTTAAACCAAGTTGTCGACTAGTGTGTATTGTCTTCTTCTTTAGCAAGTAATGTCGGATACGATAACTCTGGATCGCACCAGCCCCGTCGAGACATCCGAGAATGAGGGGGACGGAAAGGAGGATTCCAACTGGGTATATGGTTCAACCTAAGCTCGACTAGACGCCTCTATCAATCCTGTGTCGTCTCCACTCGGCCCAGAATAAGGTCGGCATGAATGCAAGGAGTCATCTACTAAAAAAGGTAAAAAATGCAAAAAGTTAAAAAAATGCTTAAAAAGAAGAAAATTTTATTTTATTTATTTATTTTTCTTTCGAAGTCATATAGTGCATATACCGTATATATTATATTAATACAAAGTTATTTTTTATGTTCCTATGATTTGGATATTTTGACTTGAGATATTAGTATTTACAATAAATTTATTTTTTAACACAAAACTAGCCCTACGTGACTTATAGCTAAAAAGAAACCTGACTCTGACTATTCCCTTTCACTACATTTGAATCCTTTTGTCAAATATTCGCATCATATTTAACTTTCTGATTCAAGATTACTTTCAATATCTTGTTCTATTGAATATTCTTTTTATACTACCTATTATAATATATCTATAGATAAAGATGAGTCCTTAAAATATTTAGCATATAAAATTTCACAGATTACTTATGTTCCTTTTTGAGGGACAAAATTCGTAACTCTTCATTTTAATAGGGACAAAATTCAGGAAATGTTATAAATCAAAGGTTTTGACAATAGTAAACTATACTAAATAGTTTTTTTATAATTGTTAATTTAAAAAATTTTTAATGTTTCATAGTAAAAAACATTTGACTTTTATTTTTGTCTTCCTTTTTAGGAACTTATCTTTATCTATAAAATACTTATATAAAGTCTTAGATATTATCTTATTTTATCAAATCATTCTTTTTACATACCTTATTATAGTCTACTTATAAAATAATTATATGAAATCTTGAATAAATTTCGATTTGATAATAATTTTTTTTTAACTTTATTAATATATAAATTTTCAACCTATTAATTAAAACTTATAAAACTTGTAAATAGATAACTTCAGTAATAAAACTAATTAAAACATCTTATAATCTTAAATTTTTTATAATTAGATAAGATTATAATCAAAAGTAATTAAATTATTATTATAAAATAAATTGGATCTTTATACTATTTAGGCTTAAATAATATTGTTTCACAATAATATTGAATTTAGAAATAATATTTAATAACCTGAGAATACTACCATTATATTATTAATTTATAGATCAAAAAATCTTATTATATTTATTAATTCTTATTAAAATATAAAAAATTTAAAATAGAAATAAATTTCTTTATAATAAATAATATTTATTGCAAAAATATTTCTATAAGATAAAAAAATTCTTTCTATATCAACTTTTGATATTAAAAATTAAATATATAGTAAATAAATTTGAAAATTGATTTTTTTTATCATTTTAATATTTATTTAAATCCAATTTATTATTTTTTTTCAAAATCTTTATTTAATTTACAATAAATTTCTATTCAAATAAAATAATATTATTAAAATTTTTAAATTCTTTAAATTTTATTATATCATTAATTATTATATTTTATTTAATTAACTTATATAAATTGTGAATTAAAAAATTAAATAGCTTTAAATAATAATAATATATAATAATAATTAATATATTTCAAGAAAAAACACACTCTTTCTACTGATCCTCTGACTACACTCAAAAAAGACATTTGCAAGAAGTTTTATATTTCTAGGCTAACAAAGTCTTACCACTTTCCTTAAACCAACTTGAGAACAAGATTCCCAAGAGTCGCCCCACCACCCC